TAGGTTTCCTATTGGAAACTCCGGGTTCGAGCTTTGGAAATCCGAGCCTGAATCTGTGTCGGAGAGACGAATCAGGCTTTTGCGTGGATTGGGTCTTAGTAACGAGCCGGATCTACTACCTCCGGCGAGCCAGTTTCGTTCTGGAAGCCGTAGAAAAGGAATCTGCAGCTCTCATTTCGCCAGATCGGTTTCGTCTGATGTACTGATTCCGAAACATCACGGTAATTGCGTTTCGTCTTCGCTTACGAGTTTTCCGGTGAGATCAGATGTAGCCGCTAGCGACAATGTCGATCCTGGTAAGGTCCAGAACTATACCGGATCTAGGTGTTCTTGTTCTTCCTTACCAGTTTCTTCTTCTTCTGTAAATATGCTCAATGATCAGTCGCGTGTGCGAAACAATGTGCGTATTGGTGGTGTTGATTTTTTAAGCAAAGAGACGATAGAAACAACATCATCTCTTAGGGACATTGTAGAGAAACAGAGTTTGAACTATTTATCTCATGGGAATGGCAGAGATGTTGTTCTGGAGGAGCAAATGTGCACCATTAGGAATCTAGATACTGGGAAAGAGTTTGTGGTGAATGAAGTTCGAGAAGATGGAATGTTGGAGAAGTTGAAGGAGGTAGGTACTGATCGGCAATTGACTCTGGAGGAGTTTGAGATGTGTGTTGGGACATCCCCGATCGTTCTCGAGCTGATGAGGAGGCAAATTGTTGAAGATGTTAGTAAAGACACTGTGGATTTGAGTACTAATGTAATAGGAAGCAGAGTAACTAAGCATAGACGGAGAGGGAGTTGGCTAAAGAGTATAAAGAGTGTTGCTAGTAGTGTGACAGGTTACAAAGAGCGACGAAGCACTGATGATAGAGATTCGCCATCCGAGAGAGGAGGTCAGAGATTTAGCTCTGCGACTGATGATAGCCGAGATATGTCCTTTCATGACCCGGAGAGAGTTAAGGTTAGGCAGTATGGAAAGTCATGTAAAGAGCTCACAGCACTTTTCAAGAGCCAAGAGATTCAAGCTCATAGAGGGTCGATATGGAGCATTAAATTCAGTTTGGATGGGAGGTATCTTGCTAGTGCTGGCGAGGACTGTGTTATTCAAATTTGGAAGGTTGTTGAGTCAGAAAGAAAGGGAGAACTCTTGTCGATGGATAAACAACAAGACGATGGAAACATAAATTTGTTTCTTTTGGCAAATGGATCACCAGAACCAGCTTCAATGTCTCCAAGGAGAAGAGGAAGAACATCTTTTAGCCGAAAATCTGTGAGCCTGGACAATGTGTTGGTTCCAGAAACAGTCTTTGGTCTTTCAGAGAAACCCGTGTGCTCATTTGTCGGGCATTTGAATGATGTGCTTGATCTTTCGTGGTCAAAATCTCAGGTTCTTACTATTCCTGAGCATCCCATTTCTTGCTATCCTTAACCTTTTCCTTTTGTGTGGCACTAAATTTTTTATGCAAATCTCGTTACAACTTGCTAGTGCCAAGTTAAGGCTTTCTGAATTGTTATGTGAGAATCTGCTTCGTTCGGCTATTCTTCTTTGATCAGATGCATTAATACTCAAGCCTTTGCATTTCCATTGTTTCTATTTCCAGCACCTGCTTTCCTCTTCCATGGACAAGACTGTTCGTCTATGGGATTTATCTAGCAAGACATGTTTGAAAGTCTTCTCACATAGTGACTACGGTGAGTGGATAAGCCTTTTTATTCCCCATCAATGACCATGATTTACTTTTGCTCTTAGTCTCTGTAGGAAACTAAACGTACATTGTAAATAGAATAAATACGCCGCTTTAAGTGTCAATTCTGTTTCTGGAAAGATTCATATATCAATATATTGATGTTATGAAATTCCAGTCTCAAGCCTAAATCTCTGCAGACACAGGAAGAAGAGATAACAATCTATATATCTGTTATGTAACATAAGATTTTCTCTCATCTGTTTTTTTTTGTTTACAGTGACTTGCATCCAGTTTAATCCCGTGGATGACAATTACTTCATCAGTGGATCGTTGGATGCAAAAGTTCGCATATGGAGCATTCCTGATCATCAAGTTGTTGACTGGAATGATCTTCATGAGATGGTCACAGCTGCCTGCTATACACCGGATGGGCAGGTACACCATTTAGTTTCTTCTATGATACGAAACGTTTGGGTAATATCAAACCACGCATTACCTTAATGAATCTCTCCTGGTTTGTAAAGGGTGCATTGGTTGGTTCATACAAGGGGACTTGTTGCTTATACAACACACATGGTAATATAAGCTCATTAACTTTACTTATCTCTTCCTTTAAAGTCTAAACTGTTTCTCCATCTCTTCTTTTGAACTTAATTTCTTTTCATTTTTTTAAAAAAATTTAGACAACAAACTGCAGCAGAGAAGTGAAATCAATCTGAAGAACAGGAAAAAGAAATCCAATCACAAGAAAATCACTGGTTTTCAGGTAAAGCTAACACAGCAACTTAAACACCATTCTGTTCTCATATTTTTAGTTATGTACTTCAGAATGTAATTTAAATGTTTGTATGGATAATCTGATTATTCTCATGAACCAGTTCGTGGCTGGAAGTTCATCGGAAGTGCTTGTCACATCTGCGGATTCACGTACACGTGTTGTCGACGGTGTTGACCTCGTTCACAAATTTAAAGGTAAACAGTACTAAGCTTAAACTTTCTTCTTCGTTGTTATAACTCAGGTTATGTTATAGCATTATGTCCGTGGAAGCAAATTTCTCGGTCTATTGTCTTCTGAGATTCATGAGTCCCACTTCACATAAAAATGATTATGCTCTTAAACTTCTATTGAAAGTAGATAAGCTCCAGGTCCTTATGTTTTTATGTTTGGTCTTTAGAAAGAAGCTAAATTTTTAGCAAATGCCGGTTTGCAGGATTTCGCAACACGAATAGCCAGATCTCGGCCTCACTTACATCAAACGGGAAATTCTTAGTCTCAGCGAGTGAGGACTCTAATGTGTATGTATGGAACTACGACTCAGACTCTCGAGCTGGAAGAAGCAAACGTGTCACAGTCACAAACTCATACGAAAACTTTTACTGCCGAGACGTCTCTGTGGCTGCACCTTGGCCTGGCAAAATCGGTAACAATCAAAGCAACAACAGCCCGGACGAGTCGCCTTTCATAGCCAATAACCCTGCCAATAACCCTCCAACACCTGTCAACGATCCAACCAACAACAAAACCGTCACCAACGGTATCATTTCGAGCGCCACAAACCGATACTTCTTCGATCGAATCTCAGCGACGTGGCCTGAGGAGAAACTTTTGCTGGCTGCAAAGAACCGAGCCCGAACCAGCCCTCGTGTTAGTGTGGATATGTCTAACGGACTGTTTAACACGAAACCGAGTGCTTCGGCTTGGTCTATGGTGATAGTGACCGGCGGTTTACGAGGCGAAATAAGAACATTTCAGAATTTTGGATTTCCGGTTCGTTTATGAGGCGAGGATATAAAGTTTTACAAATCAAAGCCCCAAGGCAAAAAAGTGAATTTTACTTAGTAAACCCATCTCTTGTCAAAAAGTGTATAGATTGAGAGAAGGTTGGTTCCATCACTGACTTTTTTTACCACGCTTCTTTTTTTTACTTATTTGTTATCTCTAAAATTCAAATCTCTAGCAAATATATATATATAATTTTTTTTTCTATGAAAGATTCTCAAATAGGCGGGTTCATATACCACAATTTTCTAACTTCGTTGGAAAGTTTATGTATTCTTCAAGTTGAAACTCTGCATGGAGAATATTATGGCAATTCTTTTGTATACACATTTTATATTTTGGGAATTAAGCAGCAATAACGCTCAAAAAAATAATAATTAAAGAGAATAGCCATATTGAGTTATTGGTTAGAGTACACTATGTATAATATATATTAATACCTAAAATATCCTTCTTTTTTCATTTCTCTCTATCGTTCTTCTACTTCGGCGTCTCCAATCTCTTCTAGAGATAATTGATTTCTTCTCTTCCATATTAAATACAAAAAAAACCCGACCAAGCTAAGCAAGATCTCGCAAGGAGGAACGAGAGTAAGATTAGAGTGAAAAAGCAGCACAACATGGATGATCTGTGCGACTCCGACGTCCTTAGGGGCTGACTCGACGGATGAAGATTGCGTTAAGCACCGCCTTCTTGTGTCAACAAGTGGAGAACAAGTGATCTTGTAAAGTGTTGAGATTCAGTGTCTATGAATTTCGAAGAATGAAATCCAAGTGAGTTGGATTTAATTTGGGGGTTCTTCGTGCATCACCAAAAAAATCCATCAATACCACTAATATAAATTTACAACAACTCGAAGTGGAGGAAGAAGGTGAAATCAAAGAGTTCTCTTTGAGCACAAGTCGTTACTTACGTGTCTGGACTCTTTACTTTTGTTTGATTTTACACATGATCCTTTTATTCTTTTGGCTCAATTGTTTTTTAGTTTGCCAGATCGGTTAATGCTTCGAGTATGAAGATGTAATTAAAGTGGGTATTAATGGTTTGAGATGAATAACAGATGTATGTAATGAGGTTTGAGACCTTTGATTTGGATCCACCTTCGTACCAGTGTCGAATTTGTGATTTTGTTTTATACTATTGGCTTTTATATTGAGTTTGTTTCGTTTTTTAGTCTATACTATCTTTCATAATTGTGTAGTATAGTTTAATTTTAAATAGAAACATAACTTTGTTTTAAAAGGACAAAATCGTCCAAAAACAGTGTTTGCTTATTTTTTGAATTTCCGAAATCATATGGCTATATTCTTCATTTTCCTTCCCAATATGATTATTCCCCTAATTCACCCTTATATTTTCCATTAGGCCTATTATCTATATATACGGAAATCATTTATATAAAAAAAAAACTTTTAATCT